TAATGTAAAGTGTTGGCTTCCATTATCTTTTGCTAATCACCTATCAGCGGCAATTATCTGTTGGTCTCCCTTGTTTGTTTGTTTCCACATTCTGTTATCTTATTACTTTTGCTGTCCTTACATGTACATATTTATGCTCTCTGCCTCATAGCATTCATTCTAAACAAGAAATTGGAAAAAATTCTGCGAAGAAATTAATCACCACACGGACGCCAGAACGTTCTGGCGCAAAATCCACGCCATTCGGGGCATTAAACGTCATAAAAAAAACCTCCCAACATAAACAATTCAACCAACCCCTCTCAAAAAGAAAACAACCTAGCAAACCACTTTTCGGCCGTCAGTAGTAACAGCAACTTCAACCTAAAACTCCTGGAACAACTAAACTCAGAAACCAAATTTACCAAAGAACCAAAAGATAATAACCTACAAAATAAATCTCCCATACACAATGGCAGAACTACTCCACGTCCTCATAAATAGGAAAAAGGGCACAGCCCCAGGCTTAGACCTCACTTCCTACCAGATAATTAAACAACTAACCCCAAACTACTACAAACTCTTCTAAAACTCTGTAACCTAATATATCTAAACGGACAGGTCCCATCACCTTGGAAACAAGCTCTGGTCATACCGATCCCCAAACCAAACAAACCAGCTGACCAGGCAAACTCATACAGACCAATTTCCATAACTTCTAACTTATGCAAAGTAATGGAATCAATGGCAAAATCAGGCTACAATACTATTTAGAACAAAACAACATTACTAATCCAGACCAAAGCGGTTTCACTCCTGGCCGCTCAACCCTAGATAACCTCGCCCGATTAGAGCAGGACATTAAAACAGGCCAGCTCAGCAAACAATATACTACAGGCATCTTTCTAGACTTCTCCAAAGCATTCGACATGGTTTGGCACAACGGGCTAATACAAAAACTAAAAAAAATAGGACTAAAAGGTCAAATCATAAACCGCATTCAAAGTTTCCTTACAAACCGCAAAATCACCGTGGGCATAGACCAAACGCTATCGGACCAATGTCCCCTAGAAAATGGCACTCCCCAGGGCAGCATCCTAAGCCCCACACTCTTCAATATTATGATCAACGACCTTTTCGAGGGATTATCCCCCCGAGTAGACACATCAAAATTCGCGGATGATGGAGCCCTCTGGATCTGCACTAAAAGCATTAAAATGGCCCAAAACTTACTTCAAAAATCTCTAAATAAAATACAGCAATGGGCACACAAATGGGGCTTCTCCCTAAACTCGGAAAAAACAACAGGAATAGTATTTAAACACAAAAATATGCAACCCGCCTCCCAAAATCTCCAACTAAACAACAAACAAATCAAATTTAAAAAACAAACCAAAATTTTTAGGATTAATCTTCAGTGAAAATCTCACCTGGGATGCACACATTAAAACCTAATAACCAAATGCAGCAAAGATCTAAATACGCTAAGATGCCTCACCGGCTCCAGCTGGGGGGGCCTCCAAGGACACCCTCCTCTCACTCTATATATCACTAATTAGATCTAAACTAGACTACGGCTGTGCCATTTACAACACCATAAACAACTCTCTCATTAAAAAAACTAGACTCAATCCAGTATCAGGCTCTAAAACTAATCACACGAACTGAACATGGCACCTCCAGCACATCACTCCAGGCCTTAACAGGAGAAATGCCACTAAAACTACGTAGGGAACACCTAACCCTAAACTTCTGGGCCGCCTTCCAATCAAACCTTCTAATCCAAAACATAATAACTAACAATATAAGCGCCCAAAACCAAGCCCTAGCCCGGAAACATCCACTACTTACTCCAATATCCCAAAGAATAATCAATTACCTAAATGAACACAAAATAAATAATCTCAAAAGAAATAGTAAACAATCAAATATCTTCACCCCAAAACTTAAAATACCTAAGATAGACACAACACTAGCCAATACACTAAATAAACAGACTGACCCTAACATCGCTTCAACCACCACACTAGCATACATACACTAAAATTGGCCAAATTGGTGTCACATATACACAGACGGATCCTAACCCAATCCTACCGACTCCCAAATAACCAACCCTTATTCACGGCCGAACTAATGGGCATGACCTCAGCACTACACAATCAGCAATCTAAAAAAGAAAAGAAAATCCTTATTCTAACCGACTCCCTCAGTGGACTGCAAGCCCTCAAAAATAAAAAACAAAACAAAATCCGCCCCAAACTAATAAACCAAATACTCAAAAGCTCAAACGACTTAACTATGGCAGGCAAACAAATAGAATTCATTTGAATCCCCGCCCACGCCCATCTTTGGCAATGGAAACGCCGATAAAGCAGCCAAGTTATCCCTTAAACTCCCAGAAATAAGCTTCAACCTACCTATCTCAAAATCAGAAATTAAAAGTGTCACTAAACAAAAATGGCAAAATATATACCTAAATTCAAATAGCCAAATCAGAAAAGTTCTTAAAAAAAACCTAACTAAACCAAAAATACTACACCCATCCAAAAAAATCGTTAGCATAATCACTAAACTACAAACAGGCCACACCAAACTAAATAACCACCTGAAAATAGCTAAACTACACTCAACAGGAACCTGCCCACACTGCAAACAACAAGAAACACCAGAACACGTACTCATTCACTGCACACACAACCAAACACACCGAACCACACTACAAACCACCCTATATCTTAATACTTCACTTACTCTAGAATCAATCCTAAATCCACAAAATAAATTAGAAAAATTCAAAGCCTAATGCATATACTTGATTAAAACAGGACTAATTAGTCGCATCTAAACCCCAAATAAACTAATAAAACCAAAATCACATAAACTAACAAACAGCCACAGCTCCCTAAGTTCGCCCCCTACCCACTCTTGGCATTCATTCCAAATCTCCAAATCTTAAAAGATAAGCAACCCTTTAAACCCCCCTCCTGGATTGCACCACCACTTCCTTTTCCCCCTTTCGGAAACACATTAAATGGCCTGCTGGGCCCGTGTGCGACAGTCGGAAAGCGCACGTAAAATCTCCAATATAAGTAAGTAAGTAAGCATTCATTCACCTAAACATATACTCCGAAACGTTGTGTTTTATCATAATAAAGAAGTTGACATCAATAAATTCTCTTCCTTAATTCAAGTACATGTATATTTACAAATCGAAATTTCGATTTTTTTCTCGTAAATTCAAATCAATTTAAAAAATCGAAATTTCGAGTTTTTTTAAGAATAAATGTCATTGCAGAAACGTCACGTAAATGGACGTAACGAGAACAAATTCGAACATTTCAAGGTTTTCTTAAATAACGACAAAATAATCGAAATTTCGAGAAAATAATCGAACTAACGAGAAATCAATCGACATTACCAAATAATAATAATATAAAGACAATTTAATCGAAGAAAAGAGATAAAGCCATTTTCATCTTCATAAGAAATCCGAGCCAATCGCACAGTCGATAGTACGATTCCGACTATATCATGAGTTTTTGTTTATGAATCACTATCAAATAGGAGGCGGTAGGGTTGCCTTGTGGTTAACGCGTTCGTTCGTCACGCTGAAGACCCGGGTTCGATTACCCCACATGGGTACAATATGTGAAGCCTATTGCTGCTGTTCCCCGCCGTGATATTGCTGGAATATTGCTAACAGCGGCGTAAAACCGTACACACTTACTCACTATGAGATAGTGATGATACCAGTATACCAGAGCGTATCATGCCCCATCAGTGGCACCCGTCACAAACACATGAAAAGGGAAGTCAATTGTTGACCTGAAAAATCACCTGAATTTATGGTACAAGTCAAAATAGGGAATTGCATCGGAAACCTTTCTTGTCACTGAAGCGTCAAATTTGGAAATGTCCTCAACATGTCTACCATAAAACGTTTTGAAGGCTTTAACTGAGGCCTTGAATGTTGTAACCTTGATCAAACAACCTCTGAGCAAGAGTCGTATGACGCTCTTTGGAATCTTGGTAGATAGAGCATGCTCGATTGTACCTCAAAAGTTGTGAAATGTGGACACCGAGGGTTGGACCTGCAGGAATATTGCTCGACATAAAGGGAAAGCTGTGGAGAGTGTTTTGCCACCCTGAATATGTATGCATAGATGAACATATGAAACAGATGAGATCGCACTGGTCTCCTTTATTCAATTCGGTGCGCAAGTCAGTGGAAGGAAATTTACTGTTTGATGCTTATTTAACGATATCAGATCATCAATATACCAGAAGGTTAAATTTAACATCTTGTTCAAATTACCTTGTTTTACTTTTGGCAAATTCGAGCAGACATTCCGATTCATATGCATACAGAAACAGATCAATAGAAGGGGGCACAACTGGTGCTCATTGGGATGCCTACTTCTTGCCTAAATGTCTTTTCCGCAACATGTTACATAGTTGTTATCAATGACGAAGTTCAGCAAGATTGTTTTCTCAGTAGACTTCACATGTCATTTCCTTTCAGTGTAACCAGAAGCGAGTGGCGAGAAAAAATAAACAAACATTTGAAATAAAGACATATTTCGATTTTAAAAAATAAACCGATGCTACCAAAGTTTTTGATTTTGCAATCGTGTTTGCTGTTGAAAAAAAAGATTCTACCCCTAAGCCAGGCAATTACCGTTTAACTATTACACTATTTGTTGTAACCCTCTTTGTATTATACCGATCACTATTTTAAGTCATAATATAAATTAAAAGTATAAAACTATAATCTGTACGTATCACACATGTAATAGCGACTCCTCGCACCCTGCAGCATGTTTTACGACATCACAGTTGACACGTGTTATGACGGCACAATAGATGATGATGTTACTTCCCCAATGGGAATCGGTTGCAGGAATGTGTCTAAATACAACATTTTCAGGTTGTTGTTGACACTATCGGAGATCAGAAGGTTTATCCATACATTCTACTGTTCCAACACACGGTTCGGTTTAATTGACAACACATTATAATCTGGAGGATAATTTATTTATTCACACTAAGTGCTGACTTCAAGTCAATCCAAAATGACAGATAAGCATGTCACTTCAGTTTGCAGTCAGCAGGCAGTCCTGGTTGACGACACCACCAGTACAAGCGAGGTCTCACTCAGCAGAAGTTCAGCAAAGGATTGGACATGTAAATATGCATCGTGGAAAGACGGCCCTGGTAACTGAGGCATTCGGGAACAGGATCCATAAATTTCTGAACAACGAAGTGTACGTATGTTATCACAGATACTGATCAATGTAAGTTACGGATGTAACTTAAAATCACATATTTCACAAAATTATACATGTACATGGATTGTGATCAGTCTTCACTGTGGACTTGGATCCCGTAACAATGTTTTTGATTGTTTGTTGTTTAACGCCGCAATCAGCAATATTCCAGCTACATGACGGCGGTCTGGACAAAAAAAATCGAATCTGGACCAGACAATCCAGTGATTTACATCATAAGCATCGATCTACGCAATTGGGATCGATGACATGCATCAACCAAGTCGGCGAGCCTGACCACCCGATCCCGTTGGTCGCCTTTTACGGCGAGCATTGATTGCTGAAGACCAATTCTAACCTTGATATTCACGGGTACCGTAACGGTGCAAGTCCCGTTGATTGTGGTTCGAAATCCCAGATTTTGTCGTTCACACTCGTGCTCATGGATTTAACTCTAGTGGCACACCTCGAAGTGCTTCGTCATTTCGAATGGCAGTTAGGTTAGGTTGAGAAGTCTCATTGAAAGCGTTTGTTTTCATGCCATGTTCGATTCCCAACATGCGTATTAGTGTGAAGTGCGTTCTTGATATTTCGGCAATGATACTACTTCAGCCTTGTTAAAACGGCGCAGAAGCCTACTCGTTCACTGACAGCACTAGTTGCCACCCACATTGGGTGCACATCTTGATCAAACTGACAGTAAGTTGAAATAGGTATTACACCGACTCACTTCAAGTTAGCAACACCAACTCCCTGCTAGTTAGCAAAACTTACCTCAAAAGTCGACGAATCGGGATGTTCATAGCGAGGGGAAGGCAGGTCTGTGCCGAACGCCCAGCCCAAACCGTCAAGTTTATTATTATTGTACAACAGGAACATTGGGAAGAAGTCATCACAGCTCATGTCCTTCTGTATGTTGTACCAATAGTGCACTCCTTCAAAAAGTGCAATGGTGTTACATAGATCTATAGTTTTGTGGCGGCATAAACCATTATAAATATATTTGTAGTAATTGCCAGTGGCAGTAAATGATTAAACTAATGATAAAACGTTTCCAAGTGCTTTCCTGGCCAGATTTAACCCTCAGTCAACAGAAATGAAAAGAGCTTTTCAGAATGTTTTTGTGCTGAAATTAGAGTAATCTGCCCTTTCTGGGTGTGACCGTTTCTAACGGCTGACTGTACCAATATAGCAGCGACAAGAGGGCGATCTGGAACCCTATTTGGAAACACCGAATTTCTGCCAACATCAAACACAATTCGTGATTTAAGACAGGGTTCTTTCAAGTCATTCAACAATGACAATATTCTGAACATTCAAATAGGGGCGACTATTTGGGCTGGGAATTTGTACGGCGATTGGATATTTTTCAGCTACAGCTGCAAAACCAGTCATTTTTCAATCAAAGCTATGAGCCTAAATAAATATAAATTGTAAAAACATCTTGCAACAATGTTTTTTGGTGGAACACAATTTCTTATTTTTTCAAAAGTCTGAAGCATACTTTTTGCATTCAAGCTTTTTCTCGGACGTTTTTGTTTCGGATAAAATCACAGCACTTGTTGCATGCAAAATTATACAACCCACAAAATCCGTCTGTTTTGAATAAATCTATTAACGACATTTGTGTGGATTGTAGGGATGTATAGGATATGTAATCCCTGTGCAAAGGAAGGGAGCAATTAACATAAACTGTGTTGGTCCACTGTAAACTTACCCATTCCGAAAAAACATTTTCCATTACCCCATCCGCTTCCCGCTGTGTCGGCTTCGTTCATTGGGATATTGATGACGTTCCTCGGTGTGGAGCCATTTTGAATCAGCAGCTGTGTTCCTGTTCCTTCAGATGAGAACATTTCAGCCGTCCGGCCAACGCTGCAAATGGCACCTGTTAAAATAGTGAGTATGGTTTTATGCCGCTTTTAGCAATATTCAAGCAATATCACTGCAGGGGACATCAGAAATGGGCTTCACACATTGTATCCATGTCGGGAATCGAACCCAGGTCTTTGGCGTGACGAACGGTCCAAAATACACATGTTTAAATAATCCATAGTATCCACGATTCAACTTTACATGTGCTAACTAATGTTGTAAGCGTAACATGTTTTAATAATCCATAACGTCCACGACGCAACTGTACATGTGCTGATTAATTTTGCAAATGGCACCTGTTAAAATAATCCATAATATCCACGACTCATATTTACATGTGCTAATTAATGCTGCGGGTGTCCAAACCAAAACATAAGTCTCTATTCCAAATATAAATATGGCATGGTCGCACCAGAACATAGTTTCTCTCTCGAGTAATAACGATGTACTGTCAGTTAAACTGTACAAGTTACGCTGAAAATATTTTCTAATTCTACGAACAAAAGAATATTAAGACAACAAGAGTTAACATTTTAAGAAATGTTCGTGTCGTAATTGGATATTTTGTAGCACAAAGACTTACGTCCTACTTATAAGTGAGATGATAATGTGCGTTGTTGGATCCTCGATTCATGGTAATTGAGAGTGGGTTACGCTTGAAAACCAGTTTATATTAATCGACAAACATCTTTTTCAACGCTTGTTGCGATTGGTTGTAATAAAAGCGCCATACGCGGTTATTTACATCAAACCGTCCACACAAAATAAGCGATACATTTTCCCACTGAAATAACAAAGCCTCGTTTTGGATCCTGAGGAGAAGACGCTTTCGGCACCGTCAACGCTGAGAGGACGTCATGGTTTTGTATGGTGGGTATACGTAATAAGTGTCCAGTATGCACTTTACACATTAAAATATACAACCATCAGAATTATATTCACGACAAGGACACATGTTAATAACAAGCACATAATGAGGAAATTCACTTTAAATGTTCGAAGCGAATGGTAGAGGACATTTTGGACGAATTAATTTTGTTCCCTATGGTTTGTGTGTAATTTTGGGAGGGGAGGTAATTCTCATTACTGGAGAGAACTCACGTGTGTTTGCCTAATATGAGTTCAGGTGTGTTTGTTTTGAAACAATCACATCAAGTCAATCAGTTTGTTACAACGATATATTTTGAATACGCTGTCATCTTGTTGATGACTGGAATTATATCAAGATTACTATGACAACTAGTGTGAATACTATCACCGCGAATATTTCAACATATGATCACTCACTCCTCACTTTTGGTTGATCACACGCACACATTCTTTATATAGAAGGTGTTTTAGATTTATAAAGAAATGAACAATATCAATCTCCGATCATTTATTTGTTTTGTTCGAGCAACTGTTTGGGATCCAATAAACCTATTTTATTTTTTTTTATGTTTAGTGTCACTGTGTGCTCAATCACATGCATATTCTAACGTTTTCTCAACAAACACATTTGACCTGAATTTCATTGTGCAATATGAAGTGTTTTTATCAGGATGCCTCCAACACTGCATCGACGAAAGGCTGGACTTTTATACAGATCTAACTATGAAGGCCAGTCCCTTGCTACCTCACAACCGCAGATATAATGGAGAAACCCCAGCTCTTTGATGTCAGAATAGAATAGAGACCAAACAAGAAGGATCAGTAACCAAGTACAAAGTTCACTGCATTGACTGGCACTCCAAGTATGACCAATGGGTTGAGGACTCAAACATTGAAACAAGGTCAAGCCTGGAGAAGACAGGCTTACAGGACATTTTCATGTTTCAACTTTTGAACTCAATCAAGGACAACCTCACATGCTCACGTGGTGTAGATTATTTGGTTTTCATCCTTTTTCCTATCTCATCCCCAGAGGTTGCCAGCTCTCTGTTGGAACTGTCACAGTGACTGATTTATGACTACCATTGTCTGCAGTACATTTGACTCAAAGGGCAAATTACCCTGTAGCCACGTCTCCATAACTTAATTGTCATTACGTTTTAGGCGCTAATCCCCGTTGTTAATACTCACCAACATTTCATTGTATATTGACTGACAGCCAACCTTGGCTGCTATATCACTTCCCGTTCATTACTGTTATTTATAGTATGACATTTATTGCGCTAATTCTCTAGCAAAGCATGATAAGAGAGAGAGAGAGAGAGAGAGAGAGAGTACTTGTAACCTGGGAAAATGAATTCTATCATCTCAAAGTTGTTGTTTCTGGACACTGTTTGGCACTATATTTTCTAAATTGGAAAAAGAGAGAAACTTAAAAAAGGAGTATTTTCGCAAATATGGATCAGTGATCAGGAAGGCTAAAAGGCTGCAATCTAAAACTGTGACGTAAGTTGTCTACAAAACCCAAACATGTGGATGGGAAGAAGTATAGAATACTGAAAGTGTCGTCCAAAGAAAATACTTTGTCCATATCACAGCGTTACAAACGAAAACACATGCTGTAGAAGACTGTAAAAAAGCCTTGACTTTCATGAACATTTATAAACTAGACCCAGTATCAGTACAGGCACAAAGGGCAGATGGTCAAAAGTGTTTAGTTTCTTTAACTGAAAATACTGTAACCAGTGATAAGGAAAATATTGACACCAATTTAGATAGACTTTTGCATGTCAAAGATACGCAAAATATTTCAACAAATCATATCATGAGTTATCACTGATAATACCGTTGTTACCTAGGTCACATGTTTTTAGCTCAAAAGATGAAAGAATACAATGATACTTTCAAAATAGTTAAGACTCCAGATCATAGTTTTGGTGTACAGAAACCCCTGAAAGATATATTAGGTACATGTGTGTCACGAATTTTGTAAACAGGAGCTAAAGAGAAGTTTCTTGAAAGTAAACATCTGCATGTTAAACTAACTGGTGATAATTAAAATTCGGGTTCACCATACTTGAGGAGGAAACCTGTCATCCCTTTAATGGCAATTACTTACAAGATGTATTTTCAGGGAAAGAAACGTATCAGAATGTTTCAGATGCTCTGACGGAAATCATTGATGAAGCCATAGAATTAGACCATGTAGTTATTCTTGGTCAAATATTTCAGGTGACTTTTATTCTGGGTAGTGATCTTAAGTTTCTGAACATGGTCTCAGGAATATCATTATGTGCAACTACAGTTGTGTGTGGTGTAAATGTCAATCGAAAGACCGATATATCACCATTATGCAGTGGTCAGTTAGTGACGTTTCCCAAGGGAGCAAAAACTGTACAGTAAATGTATTTTATGGCCCCCAAGAAGGACACATAACTGTAACTGTCTTCATCCCCCTCTGTTTGACTTTATCCCAATTAATAGAAGAGTTCCAGGTCTGCTTCACTTGTTTGTGCGCATATCCGATCAATTGGTAAAGCATCTTATTACCGAGTTGAGAGTTTCGGACAATGTCCAAAGGTGTATTAGTGTGTTCAACAGAAATAGGTGTTGCAATGTCTCCAGATTTAAAAGATTTGTGCAGGGTCTTGGTGTGGAATTTCATTTTAAGACTGATGTAGCTTCGGGAAGATTCATTTTCAGTGATTTTACCGGACCAGAGCATAAAAGGATTTCCCAGCGTATTGTCAGATTTCATATAACAGATTTCCTTCCTAATCATGCCAAAGTGAAGGAAATCAGCTTTCTGTGGAGTGAATTCTCATCTATCTGCTCCATTGGTGGGCAATGTTCTTTTGAGGAGTCTGAAGTTGTCTCACTTAATGAAAGATGCAAGCAATGGGCACGGACACTTGTGATGGTTTACCAAACTTAAGACGTGACTCCTTACATGCATATCTTAGCATTCCATGTCTGTGATATGATCAGACTTCATGGAAATCTGAGAAGCTTTTCACAGCAAGGCTTTGAAAAGTTAAATGACAGTGTTACATCGTGGTTCTTCCGCTCAACATGTCACAGGAGTAGAGAAGCATTGAAACAGGTTATGCTAAACAAAACAGAATAGTTTCTTCACAGAGCTATAGGAGAAGTCTAATGAAAATAAAATGTAGTTTGTGTCAAGGGCAGGCTCATAATAGGCGGTCATGTACCAACAGGAAAAGACAAACTGATCATGAGAAGGATGGACCCCTAGATATGGCATGAAGTGCATATATGTGATAATACTAGCTTTAAGATCGGGTGTTCTCTTTAATGATAGGAATACCTATATAGCTTTATGTGACAGATAATCTACCATAGACTGATACACTGGATTTAAACTGAAACATATTTCAAGATTCGGCAGATTATTAGCAAATGAAACAAATCAGATTTAATAGGTGTGAAGGTTATACACATTTATTTCATTTAATAAACATTCCATTATAATTCGAATACAGTTTAAAACACGTTTTGTGTAGAGTATAATGCTCTTCAAAGGAAAAAGTTTTTTTATGTAGTGCTATTGAATGTGGCATAGTTTAAGGTAATTTCTGAGACGTTTTGTTAAAACATTTCTGTACATGTAACATGTTTGCACAGACAGTGAATATGAAAGTGTACAAATGTGATTTCAGTAGTGACATGAATGGTACGATTTGAGGCGGCAGACAATTATAACGATTATTTTGTCAATAGTTTGCCCCAACGAAGTTTAGGGCATCATCAGGGTATCGGTCACATGTCTTTTGTAATATTTTCTACACATTTCACTGTGTATATCATCCCCAAGGAGCAGGTGGGTATGGCTTGGTGAGGAATACACCGTGTTAATTTATGCTGCAGACTTTCAGTAAAGAATACCTAGTCGTGGTCGATAAACATGGCAACTCTCAAACAGTTCAGTTACATTTTAATGCATTACCAGCAACGACCTTTGCAGAAATACGTTTAGTTTATTAGTTTAAGAATTTCTTCCTTGTGTAATAGTGGACAGTCGTTCGGAGAGCAATTTGGTTATCTCGGTTAAAATCACAATGATTGTTTTGAATGAAACAGTTCTCTCTAGTTTAAATCGTTCTTTGGAAATTTAACATGAACGCTGAATGCGTATTGGGGGTAATATATTGCCATTGTTTCTGTATTTAACTCTAGTTTCGAACATATTTCCTGTATGGAAATATTAGGTGTCTTGAGTACCCTCGACTCAATTATGCTTCAATTATTTGTTTTTTAGATTTGTCATAAATAAACATTTTACAACATACAAAGACTTGGACATATATTCATTAACATGATTTAGTTGATTGGTGAGTAGATATGTTTCGGGAAAGAACAGCTTGGATTTCCTGTGTAAACACCCCTATAACATGGACTCTCCCATTTCGTTCTGAAAAAGTAGGTGACGAGACGAAAAGAAGTGGAAGTGGTATGTATTGACTTGCCCGATTCAATAATCGATAATATCCACGACTCAAATTTACATGTGAGAGTGTCACCTGTTTTCAGAATCCATGACATCCACGACGCAACATTACACGTACTAATTGATTTTGCAAATGGCACCTGTTACAATAATCCATGATATCAACTACTCAGCTTTACATATGCTAATTAATGCTGCGAGTGTCACCTGTTTTAATAATCAATATTATCCTCGACTCAGCTTTGAACGCATCTGCTCAGAGCATTTCACAACGTATATGGCAAATTGATGATACAGAGGTGGCGTTTGTGACGTGAAGGATGTCATTGTTTGTGATCGTCATGGTTCACATAATAAATTAGAAACGATTGACGAAATTTAGGCCACGCCCACTATATGATTACTGTTTCCTGATTTGTTGACAATAGAATGGGCTGGACTTGTGTTGAATTATTGCTATGTCTATTGTTATTTTTGTGTAAGTCATTAAAAAGCAATCTGTGAAGTTTTAACTGTTGACGTATTTTATTAATAGTATGCACAATGCACAGTTTGCTCACCGTTGTTTTTACGTTTGTACTTGCATAAACGCAAAAACTATTTAAGTCAATAAGTAATATACAGCAATATATGAAAAGGAGAGTATTGATCAACAGTACTAGCAACACTTCCGATTCACAAAGCGTCGACTATCGCAACTCTATAATTTAACCGTTGGGGTAGAGTTGTCTACTGGTTAGAGCGTTGGATCGTTACGTTGTAGACCAGGATTTGAATGGTAAAATGTGTGAAGTCAATTTGTGATGACCTGCGGTGAAACGTCAAGAACAGTGTCTTGCGCTGAAATCGGGTGAATTTTCATAATAAGCATTATATGTTTGTTTGTTTGTTAATTAACGTCGCACTCAGCAATATTCCAGCTATATGACGGCAGTCTGTAAATAGTCCAGTCTTGACCAGATAATTCAGTGATTGACATCATGAGCATCGATCCACCCGATCCCGTAAGTCGCTTCTCACGACGGATACATACTAACACTTTTTTGTTTTGTTTTAGGTCTATTCATGTTATTATGATGAGATTGAAATTTAACTTCATGTCATAAATCAGCCATGACCGGTGTCATGTACATTTGAAGTGGTTGTGAACCATTACGTGAGCCACAAACTTGTACCGAACTTTGGTAGTGGCCCGGATGTGTGTGTGTGTGTGTGTGTGTGTGTGTGTGTGTGTGTGTGTGTGTGTGTGTGTGTGTGTGTGTGCGTGAGTGTGCTTGCCAGTTTATGGTATTAGTCCATTGAATTTACATGCCGCAGTTTAACAGGAATGCGCTACTCGAACACAGTATACTGACTCGAGCCGAGCAGTCCTTGTTTTATCCCCTCAATACCTAACGTCAGAAAGGGTAACAACAAATAACATCTTTTAACGTCTTTTGGTTGGAGGCGGCGGGGATCGAACCACCGACCTCCTTCTCTCCGGGCATCCGGTCTATCCACAAGGAGTTGGTCAGTTCCAAAACTCTATATGGTCGATGTACTAGTATATGTGGTTTTGTCCAACTAACTCACACAACCCCCTACCCACAACATCACCACCAATCCAAAACACTCACACCCTCAGCCCCTTACTTGGGTCAGTGAAGTAGGCTGTAATGAAGTAGTAGTCTCTGTCCGTCACAAAGGGGTTGTTCATCATACGTGCAAATGGGTAGCCGTTGTCTTGGCCAGTGGGAATCTGGAAGAAGCATTTTCGTTGTTATTCTGTTTCAGCCACCCATAAACCTGTGAAGCTACGGGGTAGAATAGGTCTTCAGTAACCCATACTTGCCATAAAAGGCGACTGTGCATGTCGTAAGAGGCAACTAACGGGATCGGGTGGTCAGGCTCGCTGACTTGGATGATACATGTCATCGTATCCAAATTGCGTATATGGATGCTCATGATGTCACTCACTGGATTGTCTGGTCCAGACTCGATTATTTACAGACCACCGTCATATTGCTGGAATATGGAGTGCGGCGTTAACAACAAACCAACCAAACCAACCAATCAACAACCCACGTGTCTACGTTTGTTTTTAATGCCGCAATATTCCAGCAATATTAGGGTGTCCTGTAAACACTCACGGCCGGAAATGGCAAACCATTATTTATATTTTGAGCTATGTTCCACACCGCTGTCGTACGGTGACACTCAATCAACCAAGTCATTAGATGTCCGAGGGCCTATTCTAAACCGGAATCCGACCCGTGAAGAACCGGGGTAGAATAGCTCTTCAGCAACCCATGCTTGCCGTAAAAGGCGACTATGCTTGTCGTAAGAGGCGACTAACGGGATCGGGTGGTCAGGCTCGCTGACTTGGTTGATGCATGTCATCAATCCCAATTGTGTGGATTGAGGCTCATGATATCGATCACTGGATTGTCTGGTCCAGACTCGATTATTTCCAGACCGCCGTCATATAGCTGGAATATTGCTGAGTGTGGCGTTAAACAACAACCTAAACCAAACCTAAACCGGAATCCACACGGAGCTATTTTCAATGTTTCTACGTATGTGCCCACACCAAGTGATATGATATTAACACCTACCCCTGCCTGTAGGCCAGCGATGTAGCCATTCACGTCGAAGATGAGGATGACAGCTGTGTCTCCGTCCTTGGCATAGCGCTTACCGGCAAACTTAGAGTTCTCTGAAACAACATACATGTATTGTACAGGATATGTGGCAGATTAAAATACATATATAATGACGCAATGACGTTATTATGGTCCTGGTGTCGGTATTGATCATCACATCTTTTGTCGAAAGGGTAAACAAAAATGCTGGGATTAAAATATTTTTGCCAAGAAATGAATTTAAGTTCTTGTACTATAATTTATTGGTACATTTGCCGCTTAATTATAGCTCAATATCAATCTATGCTCGACAGAGGACATGAGTCGTAAAAAGCTGTCCAACTTTCCGACGACCTATTCTTTTGACCTCCAACTACAGAACCTTGGCTCAGTTTCCTCATGTAGATGAAGACAGTAGGTACTTTTTGATTCAATGACCGATTAGGGCTGATGTTTGTGACAGTCATAACGATAACGATAAAGTGAAGTTAATTAAGTATGTCTAGATATATACTACTAATAATAATTATGATTACTTTAAATAGGAATAATACAATATTTTACACTGCGAAAGAAATCACTACTTATAATAAAAACTGAGACCTGGGATTCGGGCCAGAGGCCATAGATATCTTACACGTCAAACGAACGCACGTTAACGTTCCCTGACAAACGAATTGCGACGTCTGATGGCCCTTGGCAACACGTGCCAGTGGTGGTGGTGATGATGGTGATGATGATGATAATGATGATGATAGCAAAATAGCATTTTTCATATATTTAGTCAAATTTTGATGAAAACCTCCACAGTTTGAGATGAGAGAGTATCCGTCCTCGATTGCGTCCGACTCTGTCCTCGGAAGTTTGGCGAAGACGTTTGAGCTCAATATATTTAGTCCAAATGTGACTGAAAGAAAAGAGGTATAATTGAGTATAATTGATAACTGTATGTGCATATTTCGTGTTATTATCAACAGTACTAACATGGCAATACAAGATTCTGTTTCTAAAATCCTAAACAGTGAAACAACTTCAACGAAGTATCGAGTGATCCGTAGTTCGACTTCGAGTTCAGTTTGAAACCTGATCTTGTCCTTTTTGATAAATCCAATAAAATCATTTATATTTGTTGAATATTCTGTCTCTTTTGACACTAATGTGATTGACAAGATTCACGAAAAACATGGCAAATATGCAGACCTCGCTTTCGAAATGGCACGCTTGCACCCCATATACCAAGTTGTCCGACTCCTAAGCTTTGGTACCTCCCGGTCTGTTGACTGACATTAGGAGAGTACCAGGGTTTGCTACCAGGAATACAGCACCTCTGACAATCTGAATAATGCAGGTCTTCACATTCTCCTAAAAGTTCTGGATGGGTTTTGACTAGGCAGCGCTTCCTGTGCCAGGATCACGCTGCATTTTGTTATTTTAATCTTTTAATGAGACTATCCAGCACATTGTCAGTGCATGTCCAGCTTTGGCACAAACACAGTATCTTAAGCGACATGGAGGTGTGGCTCGATCATTTTATTACCGTCTTCGCCCTGCTTGTGGATTTGACACAGAGGTCCATCCATGGTACGACCCAGAATATGTAGAGGGCGTCATGGAAAATGAAAATACAAAATTCTTTGGAATAGGCCTGTATACAGCCTCAGACGTATCCAGGCCAACAAACCTGATCTTGTCCTTTTTGATTAATCAAATGAAATCATTTATGCCATTGACTTGTCTGTCCCTTTTGACAAAAATGTGATTGACAAGACTGTGGAAACACATGGCAAATATGCGGACCTCGCTTTCGAAATGTCACGCTTGCATCCAAAGAACGAGGTTGTGCGACTCCCCATTGTTCTCGATCAGTGCTTTAGGTTGATTGACAGATTCTGACAATCGGGGCTGCGTGAAGAGGGGACAAGGGCCCTGATCTGATCGATGATTGTTTCGGAATCAATTGACAAGGTATGTACAATATCAGTGGAAAGTAGGGAAACGGACAGGATGCACAGTACCTTGGAGTCTGTCCCAGTCTGGAGCTGCAACAGAAAGTGGGTAGGGTTAGGTCTAACTGGAGGGTTAATGCCGATGTCATCTGCTGTTACTTACGTTCTGTTACATTTCTTGTCATCACTTCTAATTATATTTCTTGTCATCATTTACATATTTCTTGTCGTCACTGTTTTACGTTTTAAGTCACCATTGTTTTACCTTAATTGTCATCACTGTTTTTGTCATCACTTTTAATTCTCTTGTCATCACTGTATTACATTTCTTGTCACTGTTTTAAATTTCTTATCAGTGTTTACATTTCTTGTCATCACTTCAACATTTCTTGTCCTCACTGTTTTACATTTCTAGTCACCACTGTTTTACCTTTCGGTTATCACTGTTTTTTCCATTTTTTCTTATATCTGTTTCACGTGTCTTGTCATCATTATCTTTCGCGTCTCGTCACTGTTTCACATTTCTTGTCACTGTTTTACATTTCTTATCATCACTGATTTACATTTCTAGTCACCACTGTTGTACCTTTTTGGTCATCACTGTTTTATTTTCCATTTCTTCTTATATCTGTTTCACATGTCTTGTCATCACTGTCTTTCGTGTCTCGTCATTGTTTCACATTTTTTGTCACTGTTTTACATTTCTTGTCATCACTGTTTAACATTTCTTGTCACCACTGTTTAACATTTCTAATCGAAACTATTTTACATTTTGTGTCATCACTGTTTCACATTTCTTTACACTGTTTTACATTTCCTGTCATCACTGCTTTACATTCCTTGTTGCTGCTTTAAGTTTCTAATCATCACTGTTTTACATTTCTTGTTACTGTTTTACTTTTCTTGTCATCACTGTTTTACATTTCTTGTTGCTGCTTTAAGTTTCTAGTCATCACTGTTTTACATTTCTTGTTACTGTTTTACATTTCTTGTTGCTGCTTTAAGTTTCTAGTCATCATTGTTTTACATTTCTTGTTACTGTTTTACATTTATAGACTTCACTGCTTTACATTTCTTGTCATTAATTTTAAATTTCTTGTCATCCCTGTTTTACATTTCTTGTCATCACTGTTTTACATTTTGTGTCACCACTGTAAAACATTGCTTGTCTCTGTTTTACATTTATTGTCACTGTTTTACATTTCTAGTCACTGTTTTTTATACATTTATTATCGACAGTTTTACATTTTGTGCCATCACTGTTTAACATTTCGTGTCATTGTTTTACATATATTGTCACTGTTTAACATTTCTAGTCACTGCATTTCTAGTATTCACTTTTACATTTCTTGTAATTACTGTTTTACATTTCTTATCATCACTGTTTTACATTTCTTATCAGTTTTACATTTCTTGTCGCTGTTTTACGTTTTTGTCATCACTTTTACGTTTTATGTCATCAGTGTTTTACGTTTCTTGTCATCAGTTTTACATTTCTTGTCATAACTGTTTTACAGTTCTTGTTAGCACGGTTTAAATCTTTTGTCATCACTTTTGTACATTTCTTGTCACTCTTTCACATTTCTTGTCATCACTGTTTTATATTTTACGCCCCATGGAATGAGGTTCGGCACATAATCGAAACTGATTATTCTCCAGCTTTGTATTTTGTTTTGTATTTACATCACCTCGGGCATCCACAAAGATGTGTGGAACTGACCCTACTGTTCACTATATAACACTTTGATAGCCGTGGAACCTTTACTTTTTGTTGACCTTTTTTAGGCTGGGATTTTAGTAGTCAGGGATATGTACTGACTATCTTCTGTTTTGGTTTAAAATGACCAATAAGGTTTGAAAAACAGATTAAGACCACACTAGATGCAAGTACAATTGTGACTCTAAGGTATAAGAACGCGACAGGAATTAATTGATTAACAAATAGAAATTGTAACAGTGATCCTGGAGTTAGACGAAATGTGTTCCAATGGACAAATATGTTTGCACCACAATCCGGTGTCGTACCATCAGGCTCAAATTACCCCTTTGTGAAACATTAAGTTGTTACACAGCGTAAAACAATATTCCCAGATGGATGTTACCTCCGATAGGTAATGGAACAACCCAGGTAGAGAATACTAGAACATGACATCATACTAGTCTTTATGTGATTTCTTGTGATCTTTCTTAGAGAATAAATAGAGGCATTAAGAATAATAACAATACCATAGATTCAGTTCTCTTATGTTTTGTAGAGACATTATAACAAATCATCAGGAAGGCAAAACAGCGAGGTGTCTGCAGCATGTATCTGTGTAGTCTCATCTCTACGCTTGTGCATAGTACTGAAACTGACACAGATTACTGGTGTCTCCTGCATAGTGATCATGCTCAGTTTGGTTACAGATCATTGGTTACTGTGTCTTACTGCTGTCTTACCTAACCCTGTTCTTCACTGTCTAACAACTGCCTGTCTAACGAATGGCAGATATCGCTTTTGCCACATGGTAAATGCCACAAACCACTGATTTGTCTGGGCCCTACTACCTTGCCTGTAGAACTAATGTCGCCCACCCGACTGGTATACCCAACCTGTAAACCTGTAACTGTGAAAAGAACGATTTAAATGATTCACTAAAATAACAAAAATACGAATTCTACTTTTTACGGACGAAAATAGGAAACATTGCCTCTCCTCTCCTCACCTCTCTGGCGAGTATCGCGTTGATACTGGCCTGATGGTATTGTCTGCAGCCTATCTCTGTAGCCGTGGTGTACTCACTGATAATATCTCTTTGTGCTCTTGTTTTGTATATGGGCCAGAGGCCTTTCTCACAATTAAACAAATTGATCTTGATCTATTGGTCTGATAAAAGAAAATAAATCATAATCACTCTTTGACAGTGAAGGCGAAACGCAGAATAATTGGTCTTAAATTTCCCCAGAAAAAAGCAAATAATAAGGCGATTGCTGATGAAAACGGTAAAATCAAAGATAACTGGACTTACATTTTCCCCAGAAGAAAGCATTACATAAAGTAAATGCTGTGATGAAAACGGCCAAACGCAGCATGACTCGACGAGCTTGTTCACGTTGAAACACCAAGTCTGTAGTATACAGCAATCCCTTCGCTTGCATATACATATACACTTTCAGTGTGAGTACCACATATGGTAAATCAATATTTGATCAAACAAATATATGTTTAAACAGGTACTCTGTAGACCAGCTGTGTGTACACGTGTTTTTCAATTTTTTCAAGTTTGTATTTATTAGTTAAGTGCTGTGACACGTTTTCTAGGTGAACACATGTTTTTCTCCTGGGTCATATGGCGTTGAACGTAAACACCCTTTGTTCAGCAAGTGATCGATGTTTGTATTACGTTCTCCTGGGACATTTGCAAACATTGTTAACTGCACCCTAAAAGTATTACTCATGTGCAATACTGTCGAGGCTAGGAGATAATAACGAAAAAAGAAGCCCGTGTTGATTTTCAGTAATCTATTGATACAGCCTTCACAGCTGTCTTGCGTTTTGCGCTCAATGGAATCTACTTCGTCGGATAATCGACACTGGTTGTTCTCTGACGTTACCGTTTTATATTGTTATACCACGTACTCACATATCCATCACAACAAGTTAATTACAACTGGTATTTTCCCCACGAGACAATCTAATAGTTAATGTTTTTGAGCCAGTAATGATTGAGGTTGAAATCGTTACAATTAGTGGAGCCGTTGCGTGACAGAAATTTTGTGAAAAAAAGCATGAAACTTGGTATGAAATTCCAAACATTTTTAGACATGGGGCCACCCAAAAACATCTAATATGGCCGCCATGGAGGAATTAAACTCCAGTATATCTCATGTGAACATAACCCACAACTTAAATATATGAAGAAACATGAACATTTTAGAAATAATTTACCCAACACTACATCTATTATCTAAATATTGTAATTATAATAGACTATATATGTTGATTTAGTTAATCTAACGTGTGAAAAAAATATAAACATATGCATTTCTTTGTTTTTCGGCATATCTTTTAAGACACACTTCATGAAGGACAATTAATTATATCAATATTGTATGCTCATATGGTGAATACAATGACAACAACAGAATATTTAAAGAACAATATTTGTATTTATTCAAATATGATGTAAATGGCTAATGGTTTGGTTGGTTAGGGGCAATTAAATGTGATCACAGTTGACACCACAATTGTAAAGTGGTGTACTAATTTAATGTGCCACAGTCACACCTTGCTCTGCAGCCCCTCTCAGACTTACAACTACATCTCAGAAGCTCTTGGCATGACTTAGAAGCTTGTAGCAGTGTAGTCTATAAAGGCTCATAGCCATGTGCTACTGATGTTAGGACCCCTCCTTCAGTTGGTGTGGGAAAGTCTGTTTCGGCCTCCAAACATTGTCGGCAAAAATAACCAGCATGAAATGCAGCTCTTTTGACATGTTGGTACATTGCAACTGATGGGGGAGGTATGGGTTCAGCACTAGATATTGTCAAAAGCTATATATATTTGGGGATATATGGTCGGATGTATAGATATGTAATGGTCGGTTTGGAAGGCTCAAGAGCGCCTTTGCGAGCGAGCCGCCAGAGCCTTGTTTGTTGTTTTTACAAAGATTCGACAGATGGAAAAGTCCGTCGACTGTCAATTACATTTGTTTGACCACATCATTCATCCAATATTATTATACTGAGTCAAATTAAAAACTTCACATTTTTAAAAGTAATCCCATATATGATATACAACGGACAAATGTATCGGAGAAGGTATTTTTAATCATTAATGTCCAAAGAAGGATTTTAATTAACGGTGGTAACCATAATTTGTTTCAAGCACCTACGGTATTCGGTAATAACATCAACAGTTTAAATCATGTCCCAAGCACGAGAATCTGATGGCACACAAGTTCAGTAGCGTATATGGCCACCATGTGCGTTGACAACTGCCACACAACGCCTCCGCATGGACCTTGTGATGCTTGTGAACACATTATTGGAAAGACGACGCCATTGTTGCTGCAAAATGGTGCCAAGATCTTTCAAATTCTGTGGTTGAGCATCCTAGACGTGTTCGGTGGGATTGAGGTCGGGAGACCTTGACGGCCAGTCCATGACTCCCGCATTCTGAAGGAAATTCCTTGTCAAAGTTGCTGTGTGGCGTCTGGCATTGTCGTGTTGGAATATCAAACCGGGTCCATGTGCTGCCATAAAAAAGGCAGAAGTTCTGGTGCCAGTACCTGGTCGCGGTAAGCAGCAGCGTTGAGGTTGCCAAGTTCGACAAGAAGACTGGAACGTGCATTGCCACAGAAAGCACTCCACACCATGACACTTCCGCCTCGAAATCTGTCAACTTCCTGTACACAACATTGGGCGTAACGTTCATGACGGCGCCTCCACACGCTCGCCCTACCATCAGCAAATCGAAGATTAAATCGGGATTCATCACTGAAGACGACTTGAGTCTATCGTAAGTGTCGCTGTGCCCACAATTGACGTTGACGTCTGTGTAATTGAGTCAGAATCGGCCCGCAGTATGGCCGTCGTGCTTGAAGGTGAGCAGTTCTCAGACGGTTTCGGACAGTTTTCGCACTCATTCTACCCCTAAACGGTTCATTTCTGGTTGATGTAGCCGTCAAAAATCGGTTACGGAGGTGACGTAAGACAATCTAACGATCCTCTGCATGTGACGTCACACGTGGTCGACCTGGCCGAGGGCGATCAGCGGTGGTACCCGTTTGCTGTAGACGCGTCTGTAAATCATAAACTGTCCGTCGACTACAACCCATCGGCCTTGCGACTTCAGCTGCGGACGTTCCCGTCTGCAACATGCCGTACATTTGAAAGGCGTGGCATGACAAATGGCCGTAAAGACTTTTGTTTTCTTGTGTTTTTCTTTTTTTGTTAAGGACTGCTATCAAGTATGGCTGTAAACACGTGCGGTATTATGGCCACGTGACCAGTTGCCCGTGAAAAACCACTTTTGCCACTGTAGTGCTGTGCACTTGATTTTGATCGATTCACGTGCACAAAAACGCATGTTATCTGAAGACAATACGTGGCCATTACTGTTTAAATACACAATTAGGACCCACAATGATAACTGGTCAAAATGTTAAAATTTTAGGTTTTTGAAGTTTTTAATTTGGTTCAGTATATATGCCTCTGATGTATGGGGCTTTGAAAAATAAGTTGTGAGTGAAAGAATTCATTTAAGATATTGCAAGTTTATTCTTAAAGTTGAGCAATCAACTCCAAGCTTTATCGTTTATAGTGAACGTGGAAGATACCCACTGGTAATTATTATAAAACTAGAATGATTTTATTTTGAAGTTTATGATTATGTATAAAATGCATCAATGTCAGAGCAGTTATAACTTCCCACTTTCGTACAAAACTGTACTGAGAGCACGGGGTTAAATCATGTATGGCTATCTCAGTCCTTTACTTGCATTTCATGGTTGACGTTTAAAGTTAAAACAACTCTTATAGATCAATATTATCAAGATTTGAGATGAGAGATGACCTCATCATCAAAAGGATCTTATTATTCTTTGTTTAAGCAGTTCCATATCATTGAACAAAACCTATTATCACTGCCTGTAAACATACGATTATGTTTAACTCGATACATATTAGGTAAACATATTCCCCCAATGGAAACTGTTCGATAATTTCATAATGTAATCTTGGAATAGGTGACGAGTTTCATTTCATATTATATAGCCCTTAATTAAATATCCTCAGAAATCGATGTATATCAAAATACAATTGCAAATATCCTACAACTGAAATATATATATCACAAATGTCTATACAATATAGGCCTATCCTTATAATCTTGTTCAAGTATATCAATGCATCAATGAAATCGTAAAAATAATGTTATATACTAGATGTATACTGAACCGCAAAAGAAACGTCACCCCAAGTAACATTGCATGATACCTGGGTTTTTTTTGTCAAAGTTTCTAAAATGTAACATTACCTTGTCCGGAAAAATGAAATTTGATGATAAAAAACAAAGCAGATGACAATAAAACCGATCGCCCAAATGCATCACGGCAATGGCCATGATAACCCGATGCACGTGAGTTCCGTGCAAATTGAAATGCACATGCGTTCCCCCATTTCTTGCCCTATAAAAATCCACCCAGATCGGATAACATTCATTCGTTATTGAATTGCTACCACATGCCAAGATTGACAAGAAATCAGTGACACCAAGCCCTTGGACGATTGCAAGCTGGACAAACCGCCCGGCAAGTAGCCAGTGCATTTCAAGTCGACGTAAGGACCATATACAGGCTCCAGCAACGGTACCAGACCACCAACACTACAGATGACCGAGCATGTAGTGGAAGACCAAGGGTCACCACCCGGCGTCAGGATCGTCAGGTTGTGCGACAGCAACTTCAAGATCGCTTTGTTACTGCTGCGGAAACTGCTCGACAGACCATGGGGACACACCAGCGACACATTAGTGCGGAAACCGTGCGTCGACGATTGACGAGCAGACATCTCCACCGTCACAGGCCACAACGAGGACCCATTCTGTCACCACGTCATCGCCGGGACCATCTTCAGTGGGCAACACAGCACCAGCATTGGTGCCACCAGCAGTGGAGAAGAGTACTCTTCTCAGACGAGAGCTGTTACTGTATCTCTAAAGCAGATGGCAGAGAGAGACTGGCGACGCTGTGGGGAACATTATTCGGATGCTTGTGTTGTTGAGAGAGGCTCATGGTGTGGGTGGAATTGGTCTTGCACAGAGGGTCGGTCCTGTGGTCTTCCAGAACATCGGTCCAGGGAGAGGCAATGGTGTCACAGCAGCTCGGTACATTGATCAAGTCTTGAGACCACACGCCATACCTCATTTGGCCTTTCGCCGCAACCACGAGTTTCAGCATGATAACGCCCGTGTCCACACTGCGAGAGCAACAAGAGACTTCCTCCAGCAGAATGGCATCAGAACCATGCAGTGGCCTGCCCTCAGTCCAAATTTAAATCCCATTGAGCACCTGTGGACGAGATTCAAAGACGGTTAAATGACGTCCGACCAAGGCCGACAACTGCAACTGAACTGCGTCAGGCGTTCCTCAGAGTGTGGGCT